GCAACTGGTGAGTACTGATTTGCATAAGAATAATTTGTCTGTAACCTGACATGCTCTGATAAAGTGTCTGTAGATTCTTCAAAAATATATATATTTAATCTTTGTGCTAATGTATGTCTCTCTTCTACTCTCTGGAAGCATAGTATTGTTTAAATGCTGATTGTGAGAACCCAGGTACATCAGCGATGACGGACAGTCATGTTCCACAGTTGCACCAAATACTAGCGATTTATGTTGGCTCAAAGCGATATAGATATGCAAAGTGAATATTTTCAGGAACTCCACTCAAGCTAGAGCCACCACCATCTGGGAAGAAAGCTACAGCCTCGAATGTGAGCACTGTCAAGGATGCTGAGGTTTCGGTCGGTGTTTGCGTTTTGTACAGAGGCTTTGCTTATGTATCATTTCTTTATACGTATGTATTGCCTCCTACGTGAACGTTTTTGGAGCGTTTTCTTTTTTATTCAGTTGTGGTTGCTGGCCGATTCATTGGAAAATTTGCTCACTGTAACCATGAACGGTAAGAGCATCCGTTTGCGCTTGAAGTCGAGTAAGGATGAGACGTTAACGTACAGTGATTTACTTTACGAAGTAAGTTTGATTCCTCTTTGAACTGTTTTAGTTTTCAAGATTTTCTCTTTTTTGTGCCATTTTTAAATTTCTATTATTGGTTGCTGTATTTAATCATTGCGTTCATTAAGATCCGTTCTGTTCTGGATCTGTGGAAAGGCAAAATTTGGCTGATATTACCTGATGGGACACGTTTCCATCCGAATACACCGTTGGAAGAATTATGTGGGCAAACTGTTACACTTGTTGTGTAAATTTATACTATCAGTTCTTAGCGAGCTTCCTGTTTGATCTGTCCCTCTGTTTTGCAATGCTCAGCGTCCGCGACCTTATCTTGTTACTAGGTATCGTTATTGCTTGGGTTCACAACCGTCATTATCGGAGCACAATGTTTTCGTTTATTGTTGTTACTGCTAGGGGTTTCTTCTCCTCTAGTCATTTGAATTTTCGAAGGTGGTTTTGTTATGTTATGGTTATTATAATTTATGGTCCTTTAATCGCTTTTCTTTCATATGGCAGCTTCAGCGACCAAACCCTTGCTGTCTCTAATAAATCTTGCATGAGAAAGGCAACAGTCACTAGACACTTTATCTTTTTCATTCCCTTGCGAGACATGCTTAGCCCATGATCGCAGGTACTAATGATTGTTTGCTTCAAGTTCAGAGCGCCCTCTTATCAAATAAAGTAGATCTTTATCGCTGCTTTTTATGAAGAACGGCAGATAAAAGTGCTACAGCAGTAAAACTTTGCAGTGAGGAGATGTGCAGTATAGGCAACGAGATTGCTGTTGGTGAGAAGAAATTTTATACTGCTCAGAAAGAAATA